TAGCTGTCAACTGTCAGCGACAAATACTATATATAAAAATAGCGTTAATGGCGTTGCAAATAAAAACTAACGGCTTTTTGCTGGTGTGCTCTCGACGCGTATTTACGTATCGTTGATTTATATAATGTCTCTCGCTATTCAAACTTGAACATTAGATTTTGCAACCAATTTTTATTTCATTACAATGATTCAATGATGATGATAGTCGTTTTTATGATTTCTTGTTTAGATTTCTAACAATATTTTTAAAGTAGGTTTTAAACTTAGAATATGATATATAATATATGAATAATCTTAATATATGCTCCAGAATCTTACTGTAGAAACGTATGCAGCGATCTATAAAAGAATCGTTTACCTTGCGAAATGAACATGTGACATTCCTTGTTTTAATTGATGAAATTAACATTGTAAAATTTAATTAAACACGTTTCAGATTTTTATGACAAGGAGATGAAAAAAGGGAGGAGTGGATTAAATTTTTTCAAAACAATAAGGTTACCTGCAGAACATTCGTATATTTGCTCCGCACATTTCAGAAGTGATGATATCCATACTATAAAGACCAGCAGAAGATTCCTCAATAAATCAGCAGTTCCCCGTGAAAATCCTTTGGAGGCGGATTATTGTCCTGAAGAAAACACAATGTCTCCATCACCGTTGAAGAATGAAGACGTTTCAGACATAGAATCGATTTTCGAGAAAATGAAAAAATACAGTTTCAAAATAGAAACCTTAAAAAATACAATGATAATCTAATTATTGTTGTAAGAGAATAAGGGAGACATCGAAATTGAGTAAAAAGCTGAAACCTTAGCATAATAACGCATAGAAACCTAGTCCGCACACGCTAATTGAGGCAAATTAAAGCGCGCCAAAAGGGCCTACACGAGCGGGCGGGCCTTCAGTGCTCAAGGTCAACTTGCACCGCGAACAGCTCAAGAATTTTAGCTAAAAATGACGAAATGTGCGGTAAATGAGTGTAAAAATACGTCAGACAAACATAAAATAGATACTAACATCACATTTCACAAGGAAGTAACGCGTTTCAACTTGTATTTTTACATAAATATTCACTAAAACCGAAAATTAACCTACTACTAAATCTAGCCTACATGAATTTGATTTTTGCCTCACTTGTGACAGTTCATTTGATATGAAACTATCATTCTATGCGTTATTATTCTAAGGCTGAAACATGTAAATTATTATAAAAATTACAAATCCAGAAAATGTGGTATTCATCATAGAGACGGAATGCCGAACAGTGTAGCAAGAGAGCATTGTGACTTGTGATATGAAAGATGATGCAGTGACCATAGGAAAGGGATGGGCGATGCTTTAATGGTTTAATGTAAGAATGTTGGTAGATTGACAGCCCAAATTTATGAGTGAATGTGGATGGAGGCGTGGGGAGAGGTTAGTGTTGGGCAATGGTAAAAATTCCATTTTTAAAATTGATGTTTTTCAGAAAAATATTATGTGATTCCGAATAATTTCCACGTTTGTCAGTCCGTTGACACCTGTCAAAAGTTAAAGTTTTTTTATATTTCCTTTACGACGGCCACTAGGCTTGTGCCAGTGTCAGTTTTATAAGAATAGATAATTTAATTATAATTTTGTTAAATTATTATGGCGATCATCACCAGTTAATCACTGGATTAACTGAACTAAAACGATGGAGCCAGCAGAAAAAGATTTTTTTACAGTTTACAAATTTAAGATTCTTTTTTTTCACTGTTGTCCAATCATTTTAAATCTTATTTTACTCTAAATTGCTTTTAATTCAAAATATATATCTAAACCAACTAAACGTAGAACATAATGTGAACTTTCGAAGTAGGTAAGTATATTTTTTTAGATTTTTTTTTCGGAACAATTTTAACTATTGGAACTTTTCGAAAAATTACCCAACACTAGGAAAGATAGACCTGGGCGTACATATCTCCTTAAACAAGGCCGGGTTAAAAGTACGAAATATACTCGGGCATATATGATACTGATGGGAGTGGAGGAGGCTCTGCCTACCCCTGTAAAAAAGCAAAAAGTGTTCTTCTAGCCAGCGAAACAAAAGTTTGTAAACTAAAGAACTAGTTTGCGTTAGTTATTGAAATTACAGGCATTTTAAAATGTCTGGACAGACGCAGTGGTGATGTCCCCTCAGATCTTTACAATTTAAAGCTTTGAGTGGCACTGCGATTGCTATGAACATAAAGCCTTTGCCTATCAAAATAAATGGGTGAAAAAAAAAATGCACAGAGACTAACTATCCCTAGCATTTATGTGGTTCTCTAAAAAGAAGCGAAAGTAAGAATTGTAAAAATCCGATAGTAAAAAATTTGCAAAACATTAGTGTTGTTGTAAATTATAACAAGAAATGCATTAATCATTACAACCTTAGAATAAGAACGCATAGAAACCTAGTCCGCACACGCTAAGTGAGGCAAATTGAAGCGCCCCCAATGGGCCTACACGAGCGGGCGGGCCTTCAGTGCTCAAGGTCAACTTGCACCGCGAACAACTCAAGAATTTTAGCTAAAAATGACGAAATGTGCGGTAAATGAGTGTAAATATACGTCAGCCAAACATAAAATAGATACTAACATCACATTCCACAAGGAAGTAACGCGTTTCAACTTGTATTTTTATATAGATATTCACTAAAACCGAAAATTAACCTACTACTAAAACTAGCCTACATGAATTTGATTTTTGACTCACTTGTGACAGTTCGTTTCATATGAAACTATCATTCTATGCGTTATTATTCTAAGATTACAACTTTAAAAAAAACCGACCTCAAAAATTCGTGGAATTACATCATTTGCCAAGTTTTATTGAAATTGGTTTTCGGAAAGTGCGCGAAACAGGATTCATCCCCCAGTTTGCCACCCTTAGAGGTGGAATATTTTCTTCAAATTTAAATGGGACCACTACTGAGGTACCTTCTTTCCAACACAAAAAATCATAAAATTGGTTCACAAATGGTGGAATACGCGCGTAACATACATACAAAAAAAAAATTTTTTTTTAAATCAGTCAAAAAAGGCGCTAGTGTAAACTATCCATATACATGAATGTATGAAATTATTTAACGCAGCCAAAGTCACAAACAAAAACATGTTAAGTTGTTATTGAAATATTTAAGGAAAACGATAATACAAATTAGTAAATTCACTCGCCGTAAGCGCTGCCTACACATGTTACAAAGATATTTGTATACGAAATTTTAGTTCGACAATTTGTTGAAATGCATTGATAAGTTTGTGACCGTGTAACTCATATGAAGATGTTCTAATTATGTGGATACCACAGACTTTATCGTAGGAGGTAGATAAATTCGTAATCTAAATAGTTTTTATTTAATGTAATAGCTGTTAGTATATTTTCTGGGTTGGTGTTATCGTAACTTCAGTCTATGCTTAAATTTGAATTTCTACTTCAATGTTTAATATGTTTCGTTTTATTAATATAAAACGAAAGTGTATTTTAGTATTTTATTGAAGTTTATGTTTTACTCTATGCTTTTAACATCTTGTAAATTGCTTTCCGTGTTCATTGTAATTATAGGTGCATTATTATTTGAAGGTAGTCTCCGAAAAAAAAATTACACTTTTCGCAAGTGAATTAAAAAAACAGTTCCACACACCAGTGACACAAATCAGATATTTTACTGAAAAGTACTTACATACTTGAGATGGGTGCTCGATTTATGATTTTTGTCATTAGGTAAGACGGAAAAAGCTTTGAACTGGACATAACATTAGTCAGTGTCGGTTGGATCTCAAGACCATATAGACTTATAAACACTTTGCGCGACATTGCATGATGTAGGTAACAAAAATATAAGTTTGTATGTTGCATTATCCACACAAAAGATAGACCACAGCAAGGAGGCGCGCGGTACGTTTTAAGGCCGCGCACCATCGCGTGGGCAACTTTCCTACTTTTTAATCTTTCTGGCTCCTCGCGGATAATATTTGAGCCAAGAATTATATTATTACTATTACCTAAATGGCGGCCGCTAGGCTTGGGCCAGTGTCAGTTTTGTAAGAATAATATAAAAATTATGGTAATCATCGCCTCTGTCAGTAAATTTCCTCCCTGTCTTGCACTGTAAATACTCCAACCAATCCTTGCAATATATTTTTTTTACGGTTTTCTCGAAAAGGTGGAAGCTGACGCGGGTAGTACCGGTGTCAAAGGGTCATCTACCGTGGAAGGGTACAGACAAATAGCAATATTGTCGACGCCGGCAAAGGTTCTGGAGTCTGCCTTCCACAAGGTTTTGTACTCACAGGTAAGCGCGCAGTTGACAGATTCGCAGCACAGGTTCCGCCCGGCACGAAGTTCGACTGGATAATGACGTGCTGCTACAAAAGCTAGCCAGTGTGGGATTCACCTCACATCTGTTGAAGCTCTTTGCCAGCTACATCAGCGACAGTCAGCAGTATGTAGATTACGCTGGGTATGTGTCAGATACATATTCTCCCAGATCCGGCTTAAGTCAAGGCAGTAATCTTGGGCCTTTGGGATACCTGCTAGTCGTAAACGACTTGCCGAAACAGGTACAAGATGCTAAGTGCTTGTTGATACAAGATCAGGATGATTGCGAAAAGTTGCAGAGAAACATCGACAGAGTGGTAGCTTGGAGCCATGAGAATAGGTTACAATTTAATACTGCCAAATCCACATCTATACCTTTCTCGCGCGCGCACAGACCCAGGGTGCACGATTACAAGGTAGAGGGGATAACCATGGCAAGTGTGAATGAGGTGAAGGATTTGGGCGTTCACTTTCTTTTCGAGATCATGTCTATAACATCTGCTAGAAAGCGTACCGTAATTTGGGTTTTGTCCTGAGCAGATCACACAGTTTCACGAATGTTACAGAGATCATAGTTTTATATGTATAATGCTCTGGTGAGAAGCCAGCTCAAGTGCAATGCAGTGGTTTGGGCGACTCACGAGAAAATATATAACCTTATGCTTGAGAAGATACAGAATAAATTTATAAGATAATATATGTATTTAAGACAGTACGGGGTATATCCATTCTACCCACGTATGTACCCGACATTATTTATATTAGGCATGATAGGTTACAATAAACTCGAAGACAGGAGAAACGTAGCATTTAGTAACATATATTTTTAAATTATTAAGAGGGAAAAATGAAAACGCGGATACGAGGCACATAAATTTTAGAGTGCCAAACAGGTACATATGTGGAACGAAGGCGACGGCCGCAGCTGCTGGTGGGTGCCATACGCGCGCACCAACATGTTAAGAGAAGCGCCGCTCACACGCGCTACACGGGTCACGAACTTGATTGATAATGAGGTGAACATATTTACGTGTCCTCAGAGTGAATTCACAAAGTTGCTTCATTTATCTGTAGTTATATAAGTTAGATTAATAATAAGTATGTACTTGTAAATATTAATTATATTTTCTAGGCTATCACATTGGATAATAACCTGTAATGATAGTTTAAGTATGGCTCAAATAAATAAAAAGAAAACAATATATATAATTTTTCGACTGCCGACATTTTTCTATCGCTAGAATAATCCTCATGGATAACCTTCTTGTACTGTACAAAACCCCTGAAAACATCCCGCTTTCTTTACCATATCTCCTGAAAAATCAAGAATTTTATCCAATTTTATATCATTTCGAAAGAAGCACTATGGAAGAAATTTTTTTAGGAATCCAAGAAAGAAATAAAATTACTATGTCTTGGCTGTATGGCGCATAGTGCCTTTGCCTTCTCCAACGGAAAAAAACAGTACCAAAAAAAAAACAACATGCCAACTGCCAACGGGTGTTAATTTTGAGGTTATAATTTGAATTGCATTATCAAAGTAGCGAAATTATTTATAATAACACATTAAAGTTAGTGAAAATGAAGATCTATACAAACGAAAATAATACTTCTACGCTAAAACTGCTCATAGCAGCAAATTTAGCTGGCAAAAAGGTGGAAATTCAGAAAACTAACTTTGGAGGTAAGTTAGTCCTATATTTTCCTTATTACATCTGATGTTTATTACTTATTTGTAGCTATAAATTAGGCTTTAACCTTTCTATGTTGCTGTATTAAGATTTTATTGCAATATTGTCTGAAAAGCAAATTTTATGGCAAATAATTTTATATATGCTCTTATTCTAAAAATTGCATCAGAAATTTGCGTTCGTGTTTATTTTGTTTGCGGAATCAGCTCGAAAAGTATTGAATTAAATTTTGTAGTATTTGTTTTATTAAGAGCTTAAAAAAGACTTTGATATTTTATTATGTCCTGCATTTTATTAATTAAATGGCACAATTATTTAGTTTAATTGCATTGACTTACAATTATATGGACGTCGGGTCCGCGGTAAAAAGTGTCCGCACTTGTAAGGCGCTAAAATCGTATACAGAGCGCGACAGTCTTCATTTGTTCTACTGATAGCGCGATACTGCGATGACATTACAATTTAAATTTCGAATAGGTTGACTTGGGACATTTTTTTCGTGGTTTTTGTATTAGACCCGTCGTCCATTTATTTGTAAGTCAATGTTTAATTGGTATAAAAAAAGTCTTTGCATTTCAACTAAGTAGTAGTATATTTTTTCAAAAAGAGAATGACATTACGTTAACACAGGATTTCATAAAGTCTTAAGAGGGAGCATGCCAAAAAAGTTTTGACGTTGGCTCCGCCCAAATTTGTGAAACAAATATATGCCTGAAGTTTGCGTGACATGCGACAGGAGATGTTGAATTTTGCGCATTAAAAGTACCAAATTCGTTTTAGCGGAATAACTCTAAAACTAAAGGGATTAAAAAAAAATCCGTAGTGACAGTTGTTGATCAAGCATAAATATAATTAATTATCTAATTTTTGTCCTAATAACCTGTAGCATTTCGAGGTTGAATCGAAAAAATGTGAAAATTAGAGGTCATTTCGTGATTTTTATCTATCAAGGAAACTTTATTGTTTTATGTTTCTGATTAGTGTCTATGCTTGAATATATTGTGTAGTTACTCATACAATATTTTATTTTTAACTTTAAAGTGGATATACCCCTTTAAAATCAAATTGAAGATTAGGAATTTTTCCTCTGCTCCCTCTTAAAGAAAACTTATCATCGATAATGTACTATATTATAATGTCGTAATGAATATTATATTATAATATTCTGTTTTTGTTTCTTTCTTTTTTTTATTTAACAAATACTAGGTGAAGTACAGTAGAGCTCCTTGTAAAAGAGTTCGTCCAGGGAAGTACTGCCATCTTACCTATTTCTGTCGCCAAGCAGTAATGTTAGCATTACTGTGTTCCGGTTTTGAAGGGTTAAGGCTCTTTGCGGCACAGATTTTTATTATCAGATTAAAAATATTTTTTTCTGCTTAATCAGGCGTAATTGTAAGCATTCTTGCACTTTTTTTTATAATTTGCATGCTAGGGTGTTATGTAGGAGGTGGTCACTATTAGAATGCCACAATATGACAACTATTAGCCACTATTAGAATGCCACATAACCACCATGAAGAATGTGACTTCAACTTCAACTTTTGTATCTATGGCTCTGTCGTTTTGCGCGACGATTTCGCCAACGTCAGGGTTGAAAGACATGTAGAGCGGTGGTGAGATAGATTGCCGGTTATTAAAATACTACGGCGGTTATTATACACATTGACGGATATATATATATATATATATTTAATGGCATTACAAAAATATAATTTGAGGGCTCATGTTATTTTATTACTTTTGCAAACATTTTAGGAAGTTTTATTTAGCGGAAAATAAAAAATAAAATCGTTTAGTAAAAGAATGTGACAAAAATTAATTTAAAAAATTGACTTTAATTTCAATATCGAACTTGTTTTCTGAGTGAGTTCGGAGCTTCAGAGGAGTAAACGTGTTTCACAAAAATTTAATTTTTCTGATCCTTGAAATATGATTTCCCCTCACTACAGCAATGAGGGACTGCATATTTTGCAGTTCAAATGGACCTAGCAGGTCTTTTTTTCATGCTGCATCAGCTGCAGCACTTGGAGAAGAAGTAGTATCTATAACTTAGGCTCTTTTTGATTTCTTTCACCGTATTCAGCGCAATGAACACTGTAATTTCCTCATTAGTAACAATTTTGTAAGGACCTTCTTTCAGTTACGCATAAAGATTGGTATCGAATGTTATATGCTGAATGATCTTTTCAGTCCAGAACAATTGGAATACCTTTATAGGAGTCCGTTTTGTATGAGCAACTAGGAATATTTGTGCAGGCATATGGTCTGTAATGAAATAACGTATTTGTCTCATTATAAAATGGTGGCAACTTTTTTGAATTTTCGAGTGTCCGAGAAGCAAGTGGAGCTGATGGTGGTAGTGGAAAAGCTGGCTAACGGTACATCATCATCAGGCCAAATTCTTCGACAGGAGTTATCTCCACATAAATCTTCGCCGAGCGGAATTTTGCTGGGTTCTTTGTGATCCTCATTGATAGTCTGATCATCGGTCTCCGAACCATCTTTACCCGCAGCACTGCTATCATTACCAGAAGGGATATTAATATATTCTGATAAAATATATTCAATAATCCTTCCAGATTACGTCCTTCTCGCCATTATCCAAAATAAATTAAATATAATTTTAAGTTGTATTTCCTACAAAAAAAAACTGTACTCTTATTGAATGGTGGTTACCACCAGTACCATTTTATTTATCAATCAATGTATAGCAAGAGAACGACCACAGCTTTTTTGTAAATTTTGACGTAGTTTACAAGGACAATCATACATCAACTAAATTTTTATACAGTTTGTACATAATCATTAATAATTACTTTCCAATGAAAAAAAACTTCCCCAAATCCGCTTACTCAAAAATTCCCGATTTTCACTGCCAAAATTAGTTACCTAAATGGCCGTGGCGCCACGGCTATTAGACACCATATAGGTGGTTCGTTGTTGATTTAGTCGTAGAATTAAAACACAAAACCAATAGATATCACTTTAGCCAAAACCTTCAAAGTGGTGGTTACCTCTCGTGACCACCGTGAAGAAAGGAGTTAAGGTGCTGGTGAAATTACAGGCCTATGGGACTTGTCAACTTATGTCTCAGGGTATCGAGGGTAGTGGCAGTGCCCCTCAGATCTTTGCGATTTAAATCTCTGAGTGGCACTGCAATTGTTATGGACAGGCGTGTTGCTTACCATTAGGCGCACGACTTGTTCGTCCCGATACATGATATTACTAAAAAAAGACACAATCTTATTCTTTCAAGGTGATATCTGTGTTTATTACTTATTTATTTGTTTTATCAGGGACAAAAAACAGCAAAGCTAGTAACAAACGGTCTTATTACTAATTTAGACATAATTCTACCAACAATATCATCCACGAACTACTTTTATTAAGCTCGGGCCACACCATGAACGAAGCTAAGCTTACTTAGCTTAAATTACGTAGTTACACGCGTAGTACATAGGGCGCACTATAAGTTTATTGCAACTGGCTACTTACATAAACAATATTTAAAAAGTAATTACAACATTTGAAAATGGAACTCTTTGGCTGTAAAATACAGTTTGTTTCATCTGACTATCACTTGTTTTTACATTGTGGCGTCATTTTAGAAATTGGTTGTCTACATCACCATGGATTTACCTCGTGAGAATTTTCGTAGTGTGATTTTCTACGACGTGTAATTTAACAGCTCAGCGGAGCTTCACTCGGCTTCAAACTGTTTCAAACATGGATTACTTACGATCTCAAAACAAAGCAGTAATCGAGCGTATGGGTCTTTCGAGATGAGCCGAAACCAACCAAAGTGGCGCGCATGCAAAGTGCCTCTAGGCGGATGATTGCTTTTTTTTTAATAAAACTGGACACGTGGCGAATCGTTTTACCGTGAATAGTGATTGGTACACGACCATTTGTTTGCCGGAAGTTATTGACAAACTCCGTAAAAAATAACCGTATCATCTTGCACCACGATAATGCCAGTTCTCACACGGCCAGACAGACAAATGAATTTTTGAAGGTGTACAACGTTGACCTTAAGAGCCATCCCGCGTACAGTCCCGACCTGGCTCCTTGTGACTTTTATTTATTTCCAAAAATTAATAACCAGTTACGCGGTCAACGATTTTCATCACCTGAAGAGGCTGTCGAAGAGTATGAAAAATATGTTTCAGAAATTGTCACGAATTGGTTTATTCATATGAAAAAGTGCATTAACGTTAACGGGGAATATTTTGAGAAACAATAAATTCATTTCTGACCATTTATAGTATTTTTTTCTTATTCATTCCGGAAACTTATAGTGCGCCTCACGTATTTTTGTGAAATTACTCCACTAGTTTGTTATAATTACAATTAATACAAACAGCTAGTAGAAAGTTCTTCGATCCGGCCGGATTCGAACTGACGTCTCGTAGCAAACTGTGCCAGACGCTATGCCAACCAAACCATGGAACAAATCAGCGGACCTCACGAATTTTTCTTTTTCTTCTCTTAACATATAATATCAATCCTCTAGTAAACTCAAGTTATTGCTCGTTCTTCTCAGGGAGGTCAGCGCAGTGAGCTAGCAATAACTTAAAAAATAACGTTTTCAAGTGTACAAATTTTACTTATGGAATAAATGATTCATTGACTTTGAATACTAACCTGTGGTGGCAGCTCTAACTGTAATCCATGGTCTTTCCAGATGTCGTATTTGCAGGGCCGCGATGTCTCCCGCTGCTGGAGGTGGATGACCAGCTCTCGTTCTTCTCCAGCAATGCTGCAGCGCAGTACTTGTTCCCCGTTTTGGATTTATCCGAAAATGGACAGTGGTGAGCTATTTTTAACCGACTTCAAAAAAAGAAAGGAGGTTATCAATTCGACTGTATTTTTTTGTATATTATGTTACGCGATAATTCGCGAATCGATTTTGATGATTTTTTTTTAAAGAGGGTACCTGAGTATTGGTCCCATTTAAATTTGAAGAAAATATTCCACCTTTAAGGGTGGCAAACTAGAGGATGAATCCGGTTTTGGGCACTTTCCTGTTACCCCTATGTTGTGGATATTCCAAAGATTCGCACGAACCCTCAAGCTTCCACATTTATATGGCGAACGGCTATGGAGTGGAATTCCCTGCCTGCAGCCTTGTTCCCTGAACCTTATAACTTGGGTCTTTTCAAGGCGAGAGTGAATAGGCATTATTTAGGTGTGCATGGTCCATCGTCGACCTCCTCGTCACTTATTTTATTTTTATTTTATTTTTTTATTTTTTATTTATGGCACAATGTACAGACATCAGATACAGAAAGTGAGGAAAATAAAAACACTTAAAAATTAATACAACAGGCATCTGTGCCCAATTATTACTGTGCTCAACATTCATTTTAAACCATTTAGATATACTTAAACAGACACTAAATCAATCATAAAAAAAAATCGAGAGAAATAAAAAATAGAGAGAATGAGAATATGCTATTCACTTTACATTAATGCTAGCAGTGACCTCTTAAATGCTGGGACACTGCAGTTAAAGATATCACAATTAGTACATATTTCATTATAATACCCACACATCCTATGTAGAGGATTATTTTGTGATACATTGTTTTTTGAAATGGGTATACTGAATAGTCGTTGATTACGCACAGACCGAGTCGGCACTCTGAACTTTCCATCATCGGGTGAGATGGAGGTCAAATGCGCACTTATAATTTATAAAAAAAACCAATTTCAATAAATCTTGGCAAATAGATATAAATCCACGAACTTTTGAGGTCGGTTCTTTTAGTACTCTGTACCGAGATTGTTAACTAATAATTTTACAGACCGACTCCAAGTCAGGTACAGCTGGTGGAAAGTGGTTAGCTCCTTGGCGATACTTTATTTTTAAGATACCCAGGGACGGGACGAACAAGTCGTGCGCCTGGTGGTTAGCGACATGCCTGTTCATAACAGTTGCAAGGCACTCAGAGCTTTAAATCGCAAAGATCTGAGGGGCACTGTCAGTCCGCCCGTCACCCTGAAACATAAGTTGACAAGTCCCGTGTGGCGTAATTTCACCAGCACTCTTCAAAACCGGAACTGTAATGATCTCATCACCGCTTAGCTGCAGAAGGAGGTAAGGTGGCAGTACTTCCCTGGAGGAACTCTTTCATAAGAAGGTCTACTGCTGCCGAATTGTCATGGTATCTCTTTTTCAGCCAACAGATGCAGGAGTGGGAAGCAACCCGTTTGCACCCCGCAGTGGGGGCCATTGTGTCCACTAAGACCGTCCCATCTGACGTGAAACAAGTGTTGATGGTGCTATTACAGACTGTGGACAAAATGTTGGCTCAGCATCAGTACATACTTGGGGTAAGATCATAGAACAGAAAATACAGTAGAAGTGGTTAATTAGCCTAACACGCGTGCCAACTATGTCCGGCTCGAAGGACCAAAACGATCTAGGGGCCAATACTACGCTATGGTATTGACGCCTAATTGTTTAAATGACGCACACACTGACGCACACACTCAACATAGCCCCGCACTAGGGAAACCCTGTGTCGCGGGTGCCATGGACACACACATAGACAACCACAAATTACACCCAAACTCACGAGAGAAATAATTGTAGGCCATACAACTATTTCTCCCGGCCCGGGAATCGAACCTGGGACCTCTGCGTGGCAGTCCGGCATGGTAACCGTTCGGCCACGGAGGCAGTTAAATTTATATAGATAAAAAGTTATATAGATAAGTTAAGTTGTAAAAGGTTTATTGGTAAAGATACAAGCTAGTTGAGGCTGTGTACCTCTTACGTTGTAATTAAGTTGATAAATGACTAAATTGATTGAATGTACGTTAAACGGCCCCGGAAGTCTAGTTATTATCATTGAAATGAGTAAAGTGAGTTTGTAATTTGATAACATAATTGTAACGTATCTTGTATTCGTACGTTTTCTATGATTAATGCGTTAAAGTCAAATTTGGCACTATTTAAAATTTGTTCTACTATTTTCGCTAAGTCAATGACGTTATTAAAATATTAAAATACCATTTAAAAGTTGCTATTAACTTTATGGTAATAATTTATCAACAATACTCTGTAGATGGGAAATTCAAACTTAACTATTCAAAAAAGTTCAATAGTTAATAGTATCTATTTATTGACAATTGTCTATTAAGTATAGCCTAAAAAGATAACAAATAATTATGAAACTGAAAATATGGTAAAACTTAAACGAAAAATATATTATTATTTATTATTAATTTCTCATTCCAGGACAAAATTTCCGCTGCAGACATATCAATCTGGAGTACCCTATATCCGGTGTACTACAACGATGATCTCAAAGCGCAGTACATGGCGGGCTGTGCCCATATTGCGCGGTGGTTTGACCAGCTGGCTTTCGCTAAAGCGTTTCAGGTTCGATTTTTTGTATAATTAAATATATGACGAATAGTTATTTCAACTGTGGAATGTATGTAATGTAGTAAAAACATGATAGTCAATCAAAATAAATATGTCTACAGTAGCGAGGCGTAAAAATAAACGTTAGTAAAGCCGGTACAAAACATAATGTCAGTACAGAGTACTAAAAAACCGACCTCAAAAGTACGTGGAATTACATCTATTTGCTAAGTTTTATTAAAATCGGTTACCGGAAAGTGCGCAAGCCCGGAGTCATCCCCTAGTTCGCCACTATACGGAACTTGACACAGGAGATAATAAAAGTCGGTTCTCACCACTCAAAGTATATTGAGAGAGAAAAACGTTATATTGAGTGTGTGCGTTATTATTTTAAAAAAATGTTACGCAGCTCCTGCCAAGTCAAAACTCCAAGTTTTTGCTAGAAAAAAAGTTATTTCCGTCAATCTCAATTCCACCCTATGTGCGGAAAGTCCGGGCAGTTGTTCCCAAGAAAGGACTTGACTCCTGGAAACCGTTCCGCAAGACGATGATTTTCACCCTATTTGAGCGTACGTCAATATCAGAATGTCCGGGAAGCAGTTCCTAAGAAGGGGCTTAACTCCTGGTTAACCATACTGAGCTCTCTTGAAAATTTTAACCCCGCGACTCAGAATTAATGCCAAATGGGTCAATGCCATCTAGCGGATTTTTATTGAACTAAAAGCAAAAATTCTGGCTTAAGACCGTCTAATACATAAAGTAGCTTTGTTACAAGTTAATTTTCACGCAGCTTGTTTTATTGTTCTTGTTTTATTCTTTTAAGGAAGCAGTTAAACAATGGGGCGGTACACCGAACGGGCCTTTTGGGGCGGCGTCGGCCCTCGGATTACCGCAGATTCCGAGTCTCGCCACGCCTGTTGCGTATGTATCATTTCTTCAACAGCTTACTAGTGATGTTTCTCGCGTTGCACAGGGTTGCTTGTAAAATACTAACCTCCTCGCGGGAATATTATCTGTGACTAGTGAAAAGGGGTATAATTAAAAAAGCCAACTTTACAAGGAAACGCGAAAAACACGTAAAGTTGGGTTTTTTGATAATAATAATAATAAAGAACTTTATTTATTTACAATGAGTACAGTAACTTACTAGTTTAGGGCGCATTCAAATTAGCCGCTGCAACTGCGCGGCGGCCGCGCGACAGTCGCGCTGCCGAATTGCGACCAAATTTTTAGTGATATTTAACCGACTTCAAAAAAGGAGGAGGTTCTTGTTGTTTTTTTTTTGTATGTATGTTACGCCATAACTCCGGTATTTGTGAACCGATTTTCATGATTCTTTTTTTGTTGGAAGGTGGGTACTTCCATAGTGGTCCCATTTCATTTTGAAGAAAATCATCCACCTCGAAGGTGGCTGTTCACGCATGAAGATTCATTTTCATAAATAGCACCTAACATTAATTTAGGAGCAAGTACTTTAATGGTTGATTTTGCTATTTCTCCAATTCAAGGCGTTTTTCTCTCAATATACTTTGAGTGAGAACCGATTTGTTTTATCTCCTGTGTCAAGTCCTGTATAATGGCGAACTAGGGGATATTTCAATAAAACTTAGCAAATAGACGTAATTCCACGTACTTTTGAGGTCGGTTTTTTTAGTACTCTATACTGAGATTATTTATCTTTCCACTCGGTTACACGACGGATTCTAACAAAGAAACGTTACTTTCACCATGGACCAATAACTCAAGAGGACTGCTAATCGTCATACAAGATAGCGTAGCCGGGTATTTAGTACCTATTGGTACACTACATGTCGCGACGATTACCAAATAGCTATTTTGTAACGTTATTTTACATTGACACATTGATTCTATCAAATCTGCTTCTAGTGATAACAAACACGTCAACTAGATGGCGCTATATTTTACCTCAAAATGGATATGCACCTGGAGTCGTATACAAATACATTGTAAAAAAAAACAATCGCAACTCACAACGTTTCCATCCTCTAAATAATAACTAGAACACTACTTTGTCTATTCTAATGCCATTTAGACATATTGATAGTTTAGCTTAAAATTATTCATATTTCAATGTTACTGGGTGTAAGAAGCGAGAAAAAACAATGGCTACGGTGATTTTAGGCTGAGAACACCGAACGTGCGAAATGATATTTTTTAATTTTATTTGTAATTCCAAGAAGTATGATATCGCAGATATTGCATTGGTCCCAAAGGGTCATATCGGAACGCCACACAGTGGGCCCAAATTGATAATTCTTGGACATAGGAATAACTTGTGGAGTATAACATTCCTAACAACTTTTATTCTTGTATGATTTCTTGAAAAGTTGATAGATTCAGAGAAAAAAAAAATTTTGTATGGACAAATATACATTTTATTTTGTATCTCAAAATATACGAAAATCTAATGTGCGTGGGTTACTTACAGTATAGTTCCCATCATTTTCTATGTAGAAAAAAATAATCCGTCTGCATGTACTTGTGGCTTTGTAGATAAAGGTGCGGCAAAATTGCTAACTCTTTTATGTACTTTTTTAACAAACAAAGTTTAAGACCAATATACATTTTATTTTTTATCTCAAAATATACGAAAATCTAATGTGCGTGGGTTACTCACAGTATAGTTCCCATCATTTTCTATGTAGAAAAAAATAATCCGTGTGCATGTACTTGCGGCTTTGTAAATAAAGGTGCGGCAAAATTGCTAACTCTTTTATGTACTTTTTTAACAAAATACATGAGCTTCGTGTAATCTGTGTGTAATATGTCATCCATTACAAACAGTGCATAAAGTCCAACAACCCAGTATAAATTAATCTGAAGGTAATTAAAAATAACGGAAATAAAAAGTATAAATTTTAGGCTAAATAATTATTTAATCATGATACAATTTTAGGAATACAGAGCTGATTTTTTTCACATGATACATAATAACATTCCTGATAACTTTTATTGTTATGTAATTTCTTGGAAAGCTGATTGTTTCAGAAAAAAAATTTTAGTTTTTTTTTTGTTTGGAGAAATAAACATTTTATTTTTTTATCTCGAATTGTAGAAAAATGTAATGTGTGCTTTATTTACAGTATAAGTCCAATCATTCTCTATCAAGAAAAAAACAATCCATCAGCAGGTACTTGCGGCTTTACGAGTAAAAAGATGTCAAAATGTTAGATTTGTTATTTATTAAAAAATAAAACACAATATACTAGTTTCTACTTAACTTTCGTGTTATTGTTATAACGCTCTGTGCAATTTAGCACTAAAATTAAATTTTCTTTAGTCGAAGCTCATGTATTTTGTTAAAAAAGTACATAAAAGAGTTAGCAATTTTGCCGCACCTCTACTTACAAAGCCGCAAGTACATGCAGACGGATTATTTTTTTCTACATAGAAAATGATTGGAACTATACTGTAAGTAACCCACGCACACTACATTTTCGTATATTTTGAGATAAAGAACAAAATGTATATTACTCCACAAAAAAAAAATTTATTTTTTTTCTCTGAAACTATCAACTTTTCAAGAAATCATACAAGAATAAAAGTTGTTAGGAGTGTTATTGTCTATCACATAAAAAAATTAGCTCGATACTCCACAAGTTATTCCTATGTCCAAGAATTATCAATTTGGGCCCACTGTGCGCCACCGCAAACGGATGACAATTTAGACTTCCTTTAGGTTATACTATATTGCTCAGATTTTTATAGATACTTCCAAGTATTCTTTTATTTTGTTTAGGATTTGCGCCATCTAACTATATTCGCAAGCGTTACGTTATTAATTAGTTAACAACGAACAATGCCATCTATTGATACGCATAAATATCGAAGTTCAGAGAATAATTTTAGTTTATTACTAAATATTTGAAAAACATTACAAGAAAAATAGAATATCTACTATATTTCCTATAAAAGAGGAGTTAATCGATATCCATGGCCATTTACGTAAATATAAACTAATTCCAGGCTATCGATCAGCGCCATCTAGAAATAAGACGGAATTTTGACCTTTTTCAGAGCTACGATTTTTAATATGGAGATTAGCAGTCCTCTTGGGTTATTGGTCCATGCTTTCACCTAGTTCTTGGGGTACACTTCACATATAGGTATTAAAAATGACTCACCTGCTATGTTTTTTTCATTTGTAGTTTTAGTTTCAAAATTGTCAATAAATTTCAGACATACATTTTCCCATTTTTTTCCCCAGTCGATTAGAATAACTGGCGTAACTGATATCCCATATTGCAAGATGTTGTTTTGCATTCTCTATAAATTCTTCAACTCGATTTTCGTCCATCGTAGTTAATTTGAAAAATTAACATGTACATCTCACTAACCGTGAGTGCCGCGTGGCCGCAGCGCTGCTGCAGCGCGTCTAACAGCGGCTGATTTGAACGCTTTATCCTTAAATAACATCGTGTGTAGTAGATAAAAAGGTAAGAGTCTCAGCTTAAGCTGTTTTTCAGACCCCATCCTTTTGAAGAAACACGCTACATTTTAAATAAGAGTTGTGACGCATCTCGACCAGCTCCACAAAAACAAAACAGCCATTAATACTAAATAATTCACAAATAACATTTACAACTTAAACCTATAAACATATTGACCTATGTCATTCAATATAACAACATAGCAATTTGGAACAATACGATTTGAAGTTTGGAAAGGGATGAACAGTACACAAAAAAAAAACAAAGTGACATTGACTTACAATTACATGGACGTCGGGTCCGCGTTAAAAAGTGTCCGAACTTATAGGGCGTTAAAATCGTATACAGACGTACGTTACGTTTACGTTTGTTCGACTGACAGCGAAGCAATCAAAATTAGACAGTACTGCGATGACATTACAATTTAAATTCAACGTTTTAGCTTTTTCATATTCCTTTACATGTCACTACGTTTAAATAGGTTGACTTGGGACATTTTTTTCGTGGTTTTTGTATTAGACGCGTCGTCCATTTATTTGTAAGTCAATACAAAATGAAAAATATTGGTTGAAACCACGTATACGAGTATATACGATGGATAGATGAACCTACATCCAACTACTAGCCGAACACTGCCTCGAAAGTAGCCAAAGTTTGCATTTTTTTTACTTGTAACCCTTTTACCTAGATTACTAACATCATGAACAATAACTTTTCCATGACTAAGTTTTTATTGAATTGATATTCAATAATTTTTTTGTGAAATTACTCCACTAGTTTGTTATAATTATTAATACAAAGATCGCACACTCAGAAATAACTCTTTCGAACCGACCGGATTCGAACCGACGTCTTCTAGCATACCGTGTCAGACGCTATTAACTACGCCACGGAACGAACCAGCGGACCTCACGAATTTTTCTATGTGCTTGTTGTCGTGTCTTTGTATTTGTTTCTTTCAACGACTTTAGCCGTAGCGCCATCTATGAAAAACCTTAGGTATTATTAAATTATATATATACAATTTTTCCGGAAACATTCCCGAAAAATTGGAAAGATTAAAAAAATTGGAAAAATATAATTTCGAAAACTCATTATGTTCTACGTTTAGAAATATATTTTGAAGTTTTTATGTTTTTAGTTAGCGTGAATTATAAAATAAACTTGTATAGCCAAAAGTCACTTGGAGAAAAACGACATTTTAAATTATTTCACTACAGCGAAAAAAACTCCTCTTTAATGGCTCCATCGTTTCGTTCAGCAACTGCAACTATTGACAGCTGGAAAAATATCCGGAAAAATATTTATTTTCCTGAATTTTTTTTCCAAAACCCAACACTAGTAAAGTAAAATATACTTGTTCCAGGTCCCCAGAAGATGCTATGGAAGCCGTCATAACCGCCGAGGAGTTAGAAGCGGCAGAACACGGTTGGTTACACGGTATTGACGAGTTGCAGCCTCTGCTGGAGCCACAGAAAATAGTGTAAGTACTTTTTTACTGCCGCTATGGCCCAACGATTATCATTCTGGACTGTCACGCAGAGGTCCCGGGTTCGATTCCGGGCCGAAAGAAATATTTGTGTTTGGCCTACATTTATTTCTCTCATAAATTGGAAGTAATTTATGTTTGTCGGCTCAATTGTACATTACACCACTTGACTTGAGTGTTGAAATTAATATGGCTAATAGACTACATAGTTTAGTAGTCTAATTTCAAAGCTACGAATTTCGTAAAATTAATATTTTAGGAAATTCGTAGCTTCGATAATGAAATTATTGAAATATTTGAAAATAAATGATAGACAACAGGTTTTGTACGTTATGAACGCAGGGCGTTTGTTTGTCGCGGCTAAATTATAAAAAAAACGCCTAATAATAAAAATTTTCTCAAAAAAAAAAACATTTTAATATATATTATTTTGCGTTATTTTGTAAAATATGTCACAATAATTAATATTAATTAAAAAGCTTTAATCAATTAATAATTCAACATTTGACATTTAAGACAATTATATTTAATGTGTACGCTTTGTTTTCGACCTTCTTCGAAAATGTCCGAAAAAAAATTTATGTCGCAAAAATAAACGAAACTGTGGTGTTTCTTTTTTAAAGACGGAGTAAAATGACATTTGTAGGGTTGCCAGCTTTCATAAATGTATAAATAGTTACGTAGTTGTTGTCGATAGTTTTATCGATAGATTGTCAAAGAAGATAAAATCTTGCTAAAAATGACTGAATTGTGAATGGTACGACATTCTAATGATTACTAATTGCGTTATTGCCTTCTTTATTCTTATTTTGACAGTTGGCCTACTAATATCAAGAAAAAATTTTATTCATATACAATTTAACAAGAATTGCCGGAATTGATTATCTACATTGAATTAAAATGAAAAACTTTAACAAATACACTGTATGTATGTATGAACTTATAAAAATTGACCGTTCAAATGAACTTGAGCTCGGTAATTGCAGGGATAATGGTTCGAGAATCGAGTTCGGCTATTTATTTCATAAACGTGACCAATGTTCAGTCGATAGTTGATAGAATATTTATCAACTGCATTCACTAGCTTCTCTCAAGCGGGCAACACTTTTACGCAATGAACTGTTATTTTACTACGTCCTCAAAAAGACAGAAAGATTTTGAAGTATTTTTGTAATATGTCGAAAACTATTCATGTTCTATATTTGAAACTTCGTAATACACTCCCCTACCCCGCATTCCCACATTATTTACCCCACTGTTCGTGTATTTCGTGCGAAAATTGGGGTTGTTTTTTCGAATTTTTAAAAATTAATATCTCAAAAACTATTAACGTCCTAACTTTGAAAATCTAACTATAAACGGTAACACTACAGCACTAATAGTGCAGAGAATTCTCTAGTTTGAGACCTGGTAACTGTCAGAATAGAATATCATTCATTTCTTGTAAATATTGTACAGTAAAAGCATATTTTGCCAACAATCGGCAAATTAATAAATTTCTATAAAAAAATACAATTAATGTCAGATGGAAAAATATTAAAAACATGATATAAAATATGATTGAATTGAATAATTATAAGTTGTCATGTAGATAATTATTCTTCTTCTTCCTGTCCTTATCCCACGCTAGGTGTAGACAATAATGTAGATAATCATTAATAATATAATAATAATAATAACGCTCACACTCAACATAGCCCCGCAATAGGGAAACCCTGTATCGCGGGTGCCATGGATACACACATAGACAACCACAAATTACACCCAAACTCACGAAAGAAATAAATGTAGGCCATACAAATATTTCTCCCGGCCCGGGAATCGAACCTGGGACCTCTGCGTGGCAGGCCGGTATGGCAACCGTTCGGCCACTGAGGCAGTTAAACAATAACATTTACCAATCAATGGCGATGTCAGTTTCTTTTTGACTAATGCTAATGGTTATGACGTCATGTTTTTCGGTAGTTTATTATATATTTTTGGTGCCATCCCAACCATACTCTTTCTTAACAAAGCTGTTTTGTAACTACCTGTTAACAATAGGTTGAAGTACAATGATCGCATAGGCCTTGCTCTGACATTGAATAACTTTATAAATTGATGTATGTTCATTGTTACAAATATACATAACGTGCTTGTATATTCTCGAGGTTGGTCTCACAATACCAAAGACAAGACGCTTCCAAAGTAATTCTTACGCTTTGTGTGGAAAAAAATTTATATATACCAGATCGCTTTAAGCCTCTTCCATTAATCAGTTTTAAAAAAGAATTGCGTAAATGGATTTTACATTTGTTCTACTCAGTTCACGATTTTATGATATATATAGACTAATTGATTGATGCATACATTTCTTTACAATTATTTATTTATCTAATCTAATTAAATTATGACATCCACCAATATGACTTATCCTGTATTAATTAATTTAATTTGGTAATGCATTGTTTATTATTATTTTGCATGCTTTTGTTTAAGGGTGAATAGGATTAAATTCTAATTAAGTTTTACCATCAACATTTATAATGTACCGTACCCTATTCAAAGCCAATAAATTACTTTGAATTTGAACATGTTTCGGAAATATATAAAGAAGGCAGAGTTAATATGGGAAGCGAAATAAACATTTGTTTGCATCTTTCTGTGGATTTTAGACCACACATAGCTCTTATGTATGTTGTAGTTGTTTGACCAAAAAATCCACACGTAGCTATCACCTATCTATTGAAGTAGTATAATTATTTTGATGATGCTGTCAGGTTACCAATAAAGGATCGGAAGAATGTGTTAATAACCTCTGCGTTGCCCTACGTCAACAACGTGCCGCATCTAGGTAACATCATTGGGTGTGTTCTTTCGGCTGACATATTTGCCAGGTCAGTATTCAGGTTCATTTATTAGCAGTTGAGTTCCTTGTGAAAGAGCTCGTCCATGGAAGTACAATAACGTGGTAGCTATTTTGTTCAATTTCTAACCGCCTTTAGTCAATTATTAACCGAGTTTGTCTCATTTTGAATTAAGTATGGTTTATCTTTTTTAAAGACGGAGTAAAATGATATTTCTAGGGTTGCCATTTTTCATAAAATTTTAAATAGTTATGTAGTTGTTGTCGATAGTTTTATCGATAGATTATCAAAGAAGATAAAATCATGCCAAAAATCACTGAATTGTGAATTAACATTACGACGAAATAAGGGTCATCTATCCCTGGCAACTCACCAGGCAAATGGACCTTATATTACTTTTAAATATCAACTCTCGTTTGCGCTGAAATCACAAATTAGAAAGCTGAAATAGTACAGCGCCAACAACTGACCTGTGTGTACCGTCTCCGTATATTCCAAAAATATTCTGTATTTATTGTAATAAAGGTAATATCTCTAACTATGAGGGACTATTCCATTCGGTGGTGTGGGAAAAACAGCAAAACATCTAATTACAAAACAAAAGGAATCACATTTCACCGGTAATTAAATATGTAATTTTATAATTTTCGTCCATTATAGCAAAGCTGGAGTTAAACTGGTCGATTTGCAGTGAAACAATTGACAACACCCGTCAATTGTTTCGAGATCGGGCTGGCCATTCGGAGCACAGTTGTCACCGTAATAATTCGACAGAATAGTTTTCAAACTAATTAAATCACATTTCGTCTCTGTTTCTGGTTCTTTACTCGATGCATCAATTATACGTTCACAATGTTACCATCATTTCCAACAAGTAACGGAACGAACAAGTCGTGCCTGATGGTAAGCGCCACGCCTGTCCATAACAGTTACAGCGCCATTCAGAGTTAAATCGCAAAGATCTGAGGGGCACTTTGACATAAGTTGACAAGTCCCATGTGCCTGATTGAATTGAATTTCAACAGCACATTTACCCTTCAAAACCGGCGGCAGAAATAGGTAAGCTGGCAGTGCATCCCTGGACGAACTCTTTCACAAGGAGCACTTCTGCTACTTTCGATCTTTGTACACACGCCAGCACATTAAGCTACACATTGACGTATCTTGTTCCGTTGCAGTGGAGGCGATTTTCGAACAAAAATGTTTAGTCTGATGTGCCGTTGTCCGTACATAATAACAACAACCTAACTAGTGTAGTATTTTCACAAAAAAAATTAATATCTTAATGGTTGGACCTATCGCCTGCACGCAGAAAGGCACCTCTGACTTTATCGGAATTAATGTGCGAAGATTGAATTTGCCATGAGCTTTTCGATTAAGGAAAACGTAGTGAGGAAACCTGCACACATCTGCAATAGTACATTGTATAATAAGGAGGTAAATAAGAAATAGTTAACGAGTGTTTGTTAGAAGCCCGAAGCCGAAAGCTGAGGGCTTTAATGGCTCGAGTCATTTGTAATTTTTACCGCCCGTGCTACATGCATTGTTTTTCATTCATCACATTTGCGAGGAAATAGATACAACGATAATTTATTTCTTGTGTGAATAAATGTCGCTTTACAACACAACATTTATGGATTTTGGAAATGGCGGATTTTTTTTTAATAAATTGCGAGCAGTTCTTCCTTAGATAATACAACTCGAACTAAAATGTTGTAAAAGGTAAAGACGAGAGAAGAGAAGGTAATTAGATATAACATAAATAATTTCCAAATTGTAAAAACAGTGCAGAATTTGAATTCATTTTGTAAAGTATAGTTAAATAGCAAATGTTTACTTTTCTCTCTATTCTTGAAGCTTATGCGAAATACTTTCAGGTTTTTTCAGTATAAAGAACCTTTCATTGATCTTGTCGTGTAAGAGTGTAAATAAAATTAAAAATCTGTTACCGCCTTATGACGGTAATATAATGCAAGGCCCGTGAGTATAATTTGGAACATTACAGTCGACTGTGTTTACATGTTATGACACTATTTACGAGGAAGTGTGATGAAAAGCAATTTAGAAATGCAATTTATTGCTGTACATGATGCTCCCACGCGTGAGAGGAAGCCAATACCCAGCATTGGGACCATGTTATGGATAAACTAACTATTATTATTATTAATTTATTTCAGATATTGTCGAATATGTGACTACAATACGTTATACATTTGCGGAACAGACGAGTACGGCACTGCTACAGAAACTAAAGTGAGTTAATTAACATTTAAAAAGGGCTAACTCGTCGAGTTTATTACGTGTTCTTTTCAGGTAATCCAATTTTCAAGGACCATGTAACGTGAAAACCTTACATTCTAAACTTATTATTTATATTAATTAGTTACTTTTTCGAGTTCCGGATTTCCGGAAATGGTTTTACTGCATCGTACGACAAAACTACTGACCAAGGAAGTCGAAGTTGGATTTTAACGTAATTCTAATGGTGCCATGTAAAAAAAGCAGCAAATAACTGAACTTTTACTAAAGCAGAGAATAAAAAAGTAACAAGAATGGTCACGCTCCACCCTTCCCTAGCTTTAGATACCGCACCGCGCCCCGCATATTGACGGTCACATTAACGGAACGACAACAAGGCCTGTCAGCGAGCCATTCGCTAAGGACAACACGTTGACGTTTAAACTATTTAAATTAATTTATTACGAACGTACGTTACCACCATACCATTATTATGATAACTGTTAATTGTGCCACGTAAGAAGAGAAGAGTTTCTTTCGTTAAATAAGTTTTTATTGGATTTCGAATTGTCGATATAATTTACATTTAATAAATTAATATCACAATAATCATTATAAATAGTATTATCCACTCGCGAGTGCGTGCGAGCGCTTGTGAGTGCCTGCACAGGTACTGAAAATCTTTTTTTGGCGGTTAGATGTCGCTCAACGTTATGGAAATGTCAGTTGTAGATATCAGTCCGGTTATGTAACCGGCAACAGTGACGTTTATTTAGCCAAATTAGTCATTTGAGTTTGTTTTAAATGTGATTTTATTTCCAGAATTAGACGGGCTTTAAGTATAACCTGAAAAATGTAATGAATTTATTTTATTCAATGTTGTAATTGTGACGAAAGACGCTAAGGAATTCTTTTAACAATGATTTCGCCATTGTTCTTTAACGTCTTTTACCGAAATCGGTTAAAGTCATACTTCTGATGTCAATGTTTGACCTCCACAGGCGTTAGAAGAAGGCATATCACCAAAGGAGATTTGCGACAAATATTTCGCGATCCACAACTCGGTTTACCGCTGGTTCAACATTGGCTTTGACTACTTTGGACGGACCAGCACACCGCAACAGACACAGTAAGTAACACACACAATCCATAATACTCTCACCAATACGGTACCTAAACATAAATGTGAATATATCAAGTTCTTAGGTTTTCGCGATTGTTACACATAGGATTAAATTATTACGTTTTAGTTTATGCCTAGTTATTAATATATTTTTGTATATTTTTAGATGTCGGGAATAAAGAAATTGAAAAACAATGTATTTTAGAATAGATGCAAGAACACAACGCAATTGATTCAGTGCGACCATAGATTAGGTAACATTCTTGTACGTTCGTTTCATTTTAAGTATAATTGAATGTTTACCTACCTAAAGTACTGGTTATTTTATAGTACACACATAAAACATTAAATCTATAAAATACCTAATCAAATAATCAATTAAACAATAATGACATAAACTAAAAAATAAAATACAATGTGACGAAAATTTTTAGGCAATATTTAAATGAGAGATACGAAAGTTAGCAAAGGAACTTTTTGACAAGAGGCCTCTTGCCAATGTAAATGTCACTTTGAGATTAAGAACAGTGTGACTATTTGTGACAGATTTCTGCCATTTGGGCAGATTTAATTTTTATTCACTGTCATTGCGACACAACATGTTAATGTTGTATTAAATATGGCCGAGTTTTTTGTTATTTTTGGGAACAAATTGAAAAGTTGTAGTTTTCTGCAGCTACGAACAAACATCTGAAGTGAAGTGACAGGGCAATGTTACATACATAACCTATATCAAGTTTCAACCCCAGCTTCTACAGACTGTACCCAATTAACTTTTTTGATGTTTTGATATTGACTCACAAGTATTGATAGGTATGTTTAATGCACGTCGTCAAAACACTGAGAAACAAAATACACGGGATGTCGCCATTCTTCTTTCGTATATCGCACTGTTATTACAATAGTGTATTAACTCAAAAAGTGTATTTTTTCAGAAGCGATGAAAAACGAATTACACACTTCCCGTGAAAGATTATTAAAATTTATGTATAGGTAAAGTTTTCTACTAGCCAACTTATTTAATGTAAAATAATTATAGAAAAATAAAAGGCAAGAAATAGTCTCATATTTGTGAATAACGACTGTTTTTAACCGACTTCAAAAAAGGAGGAGGTTCTCAATTCATCTGTATTTTTTTTTGTATGTATGTTACGCGATAACTCCGGTATTTGTGAACCGATTTTCATGATTCTTTTTTTGTTGGAAAGAGGGCACCTCCATAGTGGTCCCATTTCGTTTTGAAGAAAATCATCCACCTCTAAGAGTGGCTGATCACGCATGAACATTCATTTTTATAAATAGCGCCTAAATTTTACTTAAGGAGCAATTATTTTAATGGTTGGTTTTGCTATTCTCCAATTCAAGGCGTTTTTCTCTCTCATATACTTTGAGTAGTGAGAACCGATTTTTATTATCTCCAGTGTCAAGTCCTGTATAGTGGCGAACTAGGGGATATTTCAATAAAACTTGGCAAATAGATGTAATTCCATGTACTTTTGAGGTCGGTTTTTTTAGTACTCTGTACAATAACGACTGTTTTTGTCTAGAGCAAGCTCACAAAATTAGTCTCATTTTGAGTTAAGTACACACGCCAGCACATCAAGCTACACATTGATGTATCTTGTTCCGTTGCAATGGAGGCGATTTTCGAACAAAAATGTGTAGTCTGATGTGCCGTTGTCCGTACATTTCTTTTATATTTTACAATATTTTAACGTCGGTTTTATTGACTTGTAGAGTATCAAATTTTATGTTCAGTATAATCTTGAATTTCACATATTTTGAGTTACAACACTATTGTAATAGCAGTGCGATATAATAATGATGGTAGTGGCGACAGACCAAGGCTCTGAAACAAGGGTGTGCATGTTCCATCCATATCTAACATAAATACGTGATTTGATTTCAGAATCGCACAAAGATTATTCCTGAAGTTAAAAGACAACGGTTTCGTGACGTCGCAATCGGTAGACCAGCTGCTGTGTGAAAAATGCGACAGGTTCCTTGCCGACAGGTGAGATTACTACAGTAACTTGAACTTGGCAAGTTTATAAGAATTGTTACATAAGGCCGAGGCGGACTTGGACCCCGAATTAGAACTCTTCGATATTTTAATCGTCTCGTACGATTGGATGTAGTTCTCGAATCGAAGGGCGCTTTCCGAGTTATTCAGAACATTCAGCGTTAACAAGGCGTTAACGGAGTTAGTCGGTGAACTAGATGATAAGAAAAATTTTAATCCTTTTGTTTACATTTTTAAGAGTTTTAAGGCCTAAAATATATGAATGCTTTGTATTGAATAGTACGTTGGGTAACTGTCATTCGATAACTGTGTCAAGAAGTTCGAGTAATCGTACGGGAGTGACGTCATTTCGGTTCGCCTTCGAATACGACAGTTTATCGTTCGATTCGGGTGTTAAGAATAAAAATGAAAAGAAATCGTACGATATCAAACAGAATCGATCGATAACGGAGTTATCGTAAGGTTCTGAAGCAACCTGCTGGTTCCGTTCTTCGTCCGAAACAATTATTGTCAAATAAGTAATACCCGACCAAATTTAAAGGACCCATGATGCGAATGAAGCTTCATACTTGACATTGCTTTTTAACATGGTCGTGTATTACTTATTTGACAGTGATTTTTTTTTTTTTTTTTATGTTAACTAGTAGGCAAACGAGCAGACAAGCCACTTGATGGGAGGTAGTCATTGTCGCCCATGGACACGAGCAATACCAGAGGCATCACCCATGCGTTGCCGACTCCGGAGAACCTTGTTTACACGTGTTTTGAAGAACTCCATGTTATAACGCAAGGGGAACACTTCAGGAGGAAGGCCATTCCACATCTTACTGGTTCTGGGAAGGAACGAACGAGATGCTCGAGTGGTCGTGACGTGCCAAGCATCGAGGAAGTGGGGATGGAGTCTTCTCCTTCGGCGGGTCGTGCAGTGGTAAAAGAGTGACGGAGGCACCAACTCAAAGAGTTCGTCTGAGCACTCCCCGTTATACAGACGGTAGAACACACATAGAGAGCCAACATCTCTCCGCAAACTAAGGGGCTCTAAACCGTCTGTAAGCATAAGCATTGTTTTGAACAGATTGTCGGACGAAGAACGAGAGTACAGGGCCAGGGGGTCGATTCAGAACCTAACGATAACTCGGTTGTCGACCGATTCAATTTGATATCGTACGATTTCTTTTCATTTTTATAACACCCAAATTGAATGTCAACTGTCGTATTCGAAACCGAACCGAATGACGTCACACCCATACGATTACTCGAACTTCTCGACCAGCAAAGGCTACAAACGTTGTTCAGAACCCAGTCATCGAATGAAAGTTACCGAACGTACTATTGTTTACAAAGCAAGAATGTTATATGGAAATCTCTTATTATTTTGAATAAAGTCTGAATTTTGTTCAATTTTATTAATTTATTTCAATGCAAGACTAATTCAAATTCAAATTCATTTATTTTTCAGACAACTTAGTCCATATTTGTTAGTAACAATAATCTTATGTGCTAAGTTAGTAGAGACAAAGAGGACAAAACAATTATCAAATAGGTGCAATTACATTATTATTATACATTATTATTATACATTATTATTATTATTACTTACATATTACATGTAACTCGGTAAACCGCCGAAAGACAGGCGAGTCCATTCTTACTTCTATCATCTTTAGGATACTATTGGTGCTCCCACGCAGTCGCAACATCTGTGACGCACTTTTTTTGCGCATGATTGCGTAAAAATCATCCACGCATGCGTCCGCAAACATGCCAGATGCACTGCAAAAGCGGGGAAGCCTCAACAGAACCCTAAAGATGTTATTGTACAGTACAAGCAAGGAGTTGTAAGCCCGCTGCGTAAAGTTGGTCCACAGTGCACCTGTATAAAAATTCTGACAGAATGCTCTAAAAAGCTACTGTATTCCTATATTTTAGTATAAGAAATCCGAACCGAATGTTTAACTCGAATGTTCTGAACAGCTCGGAAAGCGCCCTTCGATTCGAGAATGACGTCCAATCGAATGATTCGGTTAAAATATCAAAGTGTTCTGAAATCTGAAAATAATTTTAAAAATTCAGGTTCGTGGAAGGCATATGCCCGCACCCCGGCTGCGGTTACGAGGGAGCTCGCGGCGACCAATGCGACAAATGTGGAAAACTTATCAACGCTACAGAACTTTTACAACCAAGGTAAGTAACTCGATTGGCTCTATGGTATAAAGGTTTAGGTAATAACTAAAAGCATGGGGTATCAATTCATTTAAATTAAATTAATTAGTTCATATTCAAAAATGTAGATTTTTTAAATTTAATTTATTTATTTATTATAAACATAACAGAATTTACATGGGTATAATAATTGAACGGTGTCCCAAAAACCAGTTTAGGTTTTATCGTACACTGCCACTCGTCGTCTAGTACAAGTACACATTACATTTAACATTAAGTTGTAGTTATATAGTCATCGGAAATTATCAGCCCAGCAAATACTGTAATTTTAAATTAAATACTACCTGCCCTAACCGATCGACACGCCGTATTAATTATTATATTATATTATAGATTAATTGTGCTGACACACGGGCGGATTTCTGACATTTGATTCAGTAGTACATTTTTATTAATAATATCATGTGTATACCATACACACGTACCCTGGACTCCGTCTGCCGCGATTACCCTGGACACCGCTCATACGCTTGCAGTCTTCTGTAATTTTTCTTTTTTTTTTTTCATTTTAATCTATAATTTATCTTCTATGATTATTCTTCTTTAATTTTTCTTCTATGGCTTTTCTTCTGCAATATCTCTTCTATATAATGTTTCTTCAATCATTTTCCTCCTATAGTTTTTCTTCTTGATCTTCTGTAATTTGATTTTCTTTTTTCTTTCTTGATATTCACTCTTCTGTCTTGGAATCTTCATTGTTATTTCACCCTTATAATAAGTTATATGTTCTATTTCAGATGTAAAGTATGCGGGCATACTCCGATACTGAAGCCCAGTGAACAACTTTTTATAGAGTTAGGGGAGGTAAATAAAAATAATACTAAAAAGCTTTTCCTTAATTAAGTATGAATTAGGGATGCACATTACCATTCGATGTACACTTTATTGCACACACACAGGAACAAAAACATTACATAGATAGATTAAAACTAATGTGGGCAAAGGCCTTATCCAGACAACCTTTGAGATATAGGAAAGCTAATGGCAAAATTTGAAGTGTATAGACAAACAAAAATTTACTTGTTTTTTAACAAAGAATAAATAACGATATGGTATAAGTACATATATTAGTATATATAAATATACCTAAATGAATCTATACTTACTAATAATTATATTAATAGATTACTCATAGATGGCACTACGGCTAAAATGTCGTTGAAAAACCAAACACGAAGAGAAAAATTCGTGAGGTCCGGTCGTCCATTCCATGGCTTAGTTGGTATAGCGTCTATCACGGTATGCTAGAAGACGTCAGTTCGAATCCGGCCGGAACGAAGAATTGTTTTCCTAAGTGTTCATCTTAATAATAGTTATAAAAATTTTGACAGACTGCCCCGCAGAGAGACCGAGAGAGACCTCACAGTCCCAGGTCGGGAGAAATATTTGTAAGGCCTACATTTATTTCTCTCGTTAGTTTGGGTGTAATTTGGTGTGTGTCCATGGCACCCTCGACACAGAGTTTCCTTAGTGCGGGGCCATGTTGAGTGTGTGCGTTATTATTTTATTATTATATTACTTTTTGCCTTCAGTCGGTTAAGACTTTCATTTAGATTGATATTAGCCAGTGAGAAAAGCCGTTCAGATGCCACAGGAGTAGCGACAATCGCCAAATATTGTAGACTTGTTGTACATACTTACTTGTTGCCAAACTACTTTTCTTGCAGACCGATATAAAATGGACAAGCCTTATGAATCAATAGGGGTTCAGAGACTGTTTTGACTTAATTATGAAACATTTAGATCGCAGATGATTGGATTCGCCTTAACCGATTGATCATCGGTTTAATTATTAATACAAAGATCGAACACTCAGAAAAAATCCTTCGAACCGACGTCTTATAGCACACCGTGCCAGACGCTATACCAACTAAGCCACGGAACGAAGCAACGGACCTCACGAATTTATCTATGTGCTTGTTGTCGTATCTTTGTATTTGGTTTTGGACCGACTTTTTAGCCGTAGCCCTATGAGAAATCTATGAAAGTATTTCGTCACCCCGTTAGACACCTATAGACCTAGATATAGATCTTTACAGCTACCAGTCTCGGTTAAAGATGTCGCTATTCACTGTATATAAATTTTTATTGAATTGATATTCAATTATTTTTTTATGTGAAATTATAAATATTATTATAGTTACTATATTCATCGATCGATAGTATTTTATAGTCATAAAGAACGAAATCCAGTCGCCACCTATATTATTTACAAAGCAACGCCATCTAGTGGCAGAATGACGTATTTAATTATGACTATTACTGTTTAAGAGCCTGCAATCGTTGTAGGGCCGGTGTCGGTAGATGGGGCCGCTAACAGGAGATACCAAACCTGTTCTTATTCTACTATGGTTCGAGCGTACTTGACCGAGTTCCGTCGGTGTAGCTGGAGCCGGCGCTGCGGTCGTGGATCAGCGGCGTGGAGGGCGGCTGGTCGGCGCCGGCGCGAGGCGTGACGCGCGCCTGGCTGCGCGAGGGGCTGCGCGCCAGGGCCGTCACCAGAGACCTCAAGTGGGGGGTGCCGGTGCCCGTGCCGGGTTTCCACAACAAGGTGGGTCCACATGCAACTGTAAGTCGTGCGGTAAATGCGCGTAAGGATAGCCATAGTGTCGTCCTATTGCTTACGTACGTTCACTTTTCGTGTTACACAGGGTGTTTTTTTTAATGGGACAATGTTGTGAAATCTGAATCCATAGAATATACAAGGAAACTGTATTAGGAACCCTTAAGTCTTTTTTGGTGAAAACCACTTTGGCATAGTCAATGTTATTTATTTTGTATGAAATTTGACTAACTTCGGCTGTCCTGAGTCGATTGGCACTAAAAAAATTTTGTTCATTTTTATTCGTTTTTTGGACAACTCGCGCTTGACCAAAAAAATTACTGCCTTCATTTCATTTAATTTACTTAATTGTTTTCACGAAAAAAGTCCAAAATCCTTGTATCTTCTACTGTTTCGGATTTCCCCATATTGTCCTATTTAAAAAAAACACTGTATATATTATTCGTTGATTAAGTTGAGACGTCGTTGGAAAAAATACTTTCAGCAGGGGTCTTACCATGAACGCTTATTACGATTCGGTTTAGGATCTAAAACGAATCATCGTGAGACAGCGCTTCATGAAGTGTACGTCACCAACCCGCTTTTTAGTCGTTACGAACCTATACTGAACTGTAATAAGAGTTCATGGTAAGGCCACAGTTTTGGAAAAATCATCAATATGGAACGGCAAAATAGTTTTTTATGTAACTGTTACATAATGAAATCATTAAAATACGAGTATGGGTTTATGAAACGTGTCGACAGGAGAGTTTCATAGAAACATCACACGAGTGTTTTATGCCTAATAAAGTACAGTTACATACACTGCTTTATCTATACACACATTATAAGCTCTCTATGATGTGTTCAGGAACCGCATGTTACGATTGGCGAAATGGCGGCGAATAAAAACTTTTCTCACGCAACGTAGTTTTTATTTAATTCATAGACAAACTAGAGTCGGCCCCAACCGTCATATTCGTTCGATATCAAGTTTTTCATATTCAAGATATTCAAGTTTGCTTATCGACATTTTATTTCGAATAAAACTTAATCTCGGCTGATATTAGAATTGATTTCTTGAATTGAATTGATTTTTCAAAGATTTAACGGCCTCCATGGCCGAACGGTTATTATGCCGATCTGCCACGCAGAGGTCCCAGGTTCGATTCCCGGGCCGGGAGAAATATTTTTATTGCCTACATTTATTTCTCTCGTGAGTTTGGGTGTAATTTGTCTATGTGTGTGTCCATGGCACCCGCGACACAGGTTTTCCCTATGTCGAAATTTGCATGTCATAATAAAATCGAATTCGATGTTATTATGAAGCAGTAATAACATTTTCATAAGAAATTTTGTTCTAACAAAACAATTAACCTTTATGCTGGTCGTAATTTGCGGTTTTTGAACACATTATAGAGAGTTAATGATATGTGTGTAGATAAAATGCATTTTAAGTGTGAGGTGCTCACTACAGGTCTTCTACGTGTGGTTCGATGCACCTATCGGCTACCTCAGCATCACGGACACGGCTACGAAACAGTACGAGGCTTGGTGGAAGCCAGACAAGAAATATGACGTAAGTAACATTTCAACTTAATTTATATGGTGTTACTCTGACGATTTCAAGTGTAATTTGAACTTGAGCTTGTTTTCAGGTGAAATTATACCAATTTATGGCAAAAGACAACGTTCCATTCCACGTTATCATGTTCCCGGCCACTTTGATCGGCGTCAACGAGGGGCATATATTGGTCAACCACATTTACGCAACAGGTATTACAATAGATCAATGTTTCATTTATTTTCTTTGTTTTATTGCAGTTTTTTAATGTAGAATAGACACACCATTGGCCATATTCGCACCCAGGTACGATATATTGGTAAATCAGTATCTAGTCCTAAATAAATGACGATAAATGTGAATTATAATTCATTGGTGGTGAGAGTACTAACTCAGCATCTGTCGACCTTCATGAAGGAGAACTTTTGGCCGAAGGGTGTCATCTATCGATGTTTCCGGGCACCCAAGTTGCGTCACGCGTCGCAGTCCATAAGTGTAAATAAATAAATAGTGTCTTATTGTATTATTATATTATGTTGTATGTATGTTAGTCCTTAAGTATGTATATATTACATGGGTGCCTGAGTTAAATAAATAAATAAAGTATGTAAACAAAGTCACATGTGACACGCAGATATCCCGGGTTTGATTCCCGGGCCGGGAGAAATATTTGTATGGCGTACATTTAAATCTCTCGTGAGTTTGAGTCATCGAGTATATAACCAGAAATAGAGACGAAATAAGGGCCATACGTCCTTGACAACTCATCAAGCAAATGGGTCTTATATTACTTTTAAATATCAACTCTCGTTTGCACTGAAATCACAAATTAGAAAGCTGAAATAGTACAGCACCAACAACTGACTTGTGTGTACGTCTCCGTATATTCCAAAAATGTTCTATATGTATTGTAATAAAGATAACATCTCTCTCTCTTCAGTGGTGTGGAAAAAACAGCAAAACATGTAATTATAATATATATCTAATAATTAAATATTAAATATGTAATTATTCAATTTTCGTCCATTATATCAAAGCTCAAGTTAAACTGTCGATTGGAAGTGAAACAATTGAAAACTCCCATCAATTGTTTCGAATTCGGACTGGCCAATCGGAGCGCAGTTGTCACCATAATGATTTGGCAGAATAGTTTTCAAACAAATTAAATAACATTTCGTCTCTATCTGGTTATATACTCGATGATTTGAGTATAATTTGTGGTTGTCTATATGTGTGTGTCCATTGCACCTGCGATACAGGGTTTTCCTAGTGCGGGGCTATGAGTGTCGCGTTATTAATTGTTAATATTTTTACAGAATATCTCAACTACGAGGAAGGAAAATTTTCAAAATCAAGAGGCGTTGGTGTGTTTGGAACCGACGCTCAGGTACGTATTTTTATCCGCCTACTACATCCTTTTTACGTCATATGATACCTCGTTAAAGTCTTTAGTGTGTGCAGTAAAGTAAAGATAACATCTAATAAATAACCAGAAATAGAGACGAAATAAGGGCCATCCATCCCTGGCAAATATCAACTCTCGTTTGCACTCACAAATTAGAAAGCTGAAATAATATAGCGCCAACAACTGACCTGTGTGTACGTCTTCCTATATTCTAAAAATATATTGTATTTATTGTGACAAAGATAATAATATCTAACTGTCTATTCGTTGATGTGGGAAAAACAACAAAACATCTAATTACAAAACAAATGGATTCACATTTCATCAGTAATTAAATATTAAATTTGTATTTTTTAAATTTTCGTCCATTAAAGCAAAGCTCAAGTTAACTGGTCGATTTGAAGTGAAACAATTGACGACACCCGTCAATTGTTTCGAATTCGGGCTGGCCAATCTGAGCGTAGTTGTCACCGTAATGATTGGGCAGAATCATTTTCAAACAAATTAAGTGACATTTCGTCTCTATTTTTGGTTATATATTCGATGATTGCCAAATTCCATAGTTTTGTCCCACAAAACGGGCCTTTGTTCCACTAAAGGGATATCAATAAATAAATCGATGACCACAGAAGATTCGCCGGTCATAAAATTATGCATGCCACCCTCGTTCCAAAAGATACTTCCATAGACGCCGCTTGTTCGGTGACTATTCGATAAAAAACTTATGACTTCACCCCGTGCGAAAGAGATGCATTAATACTATGCGCCACTGCACACCGTATACGTTGAAGTTCATTCGAGTTGCTTGACAAGTCCGTCGCGTATTCGATAAACGTATAGAGCTGTGTGCTTTTTATCAGGACAAACATACATTTATTTATACTCTAGCCAAATTCGACGTTGAATGTTTAATAACAAAACGTTGCTAGGCAACCACTGATGGCATAGGAAAAGGAAATTTTTTTCAATGCTCATTATTAAGGCTTGCTCTGCCCACGGCCTTCTTCCTTAAATGGAATTTAAATAGGTAAGTACGTAATTGGGTTATGTAGAAGTAATACTTACCTAGCCATTTATTATAAAGTTTACAAAATACCTATTGATACGTATGATTTAGGAATAAAAATAAGTGTTTGGATCCTATCAGTATTTACTGCTAGATAGCAGGTAATGGTAGAGGAAAAGAAACAAAATTGTAAGATTTTATTTGATATTAATTTACCACATATTAAATCATCCAGCATCTATTTCCGATTCTGAACTTGAATTACCACCAGAACTCGAGTGTTTGCAATCTCTCCGTTCAAATAAAAAAAGTGACTAGGGATGACACAAGTTTTACAAATAATTAATTACTAGTCATTTTTATGTCATTTTTAGGTGATTTGAGTCTTCTGTTGAATAATATTCATTATAAACATGTCTTCAAGATTTAGTATTATCCACAATCCAGTTGAATTTCGTAGAAAATTTTTTAAATTGTGATAACTGTGAAAGAGTCTGAGATGAAAACCCTAGAAATCATATGTTTTTGTTTGTTGACATTTATTCTACATCGAATTTGGCTAGAGTATATATGAGCGTATGCGCTACTGTTTATTCGGTAAGATTTATACTGCTAAAAACCGTGCAGTACATTGCCGTGTGAACGGGGGTTTGGTGAAATTTCAGACTCATGGGACTTGTCAACTTATGTCTCACGGTGACGGGCTCAGTGCCAGTGCCCCGCAGATCTTTGTGATTTAAAGCTCTGAGTGACACTGCGACTGCTGAGTTAATATCATCGAGTATATAATCAGAAATAAAGACGAAATGTCATTTAATTTGTTTGAACACTATTCTGCCATATCATTACGGTGACAACCGCGCTCTGATTGGCCAGCTCGAATTCGACACAATTGATGGGTGTCGTCAATCTTAGGGATTGGTATGATTGACAATGATTGATCCTATTGCTAGTTTTTTTAACAATCAATCCTATTACTGTTTGGATATTTGATATGAACAATAAAAAATTATAACTATTTCGATTCATAATCGATATTTGATCAAGTATCAAAAAGTGAAGTGCAGTAATTAGTTAGTAACAAATTGATATCAACAATCGAATTGTTTCGATTATGTTTATAATCGAATTATTCCGATAAATTTTAGTAACTATCACCCATCGTTAACACAAACCCTGAAATCGCAGAGGCCTGAGAGGCACTCCCGTTACGCTGAACCACCAGCACCCTTACCCTTCAAAACTGGAACTATAATACTAGCTGATATCCTAATTTAAGACCAGGTTGGTTTGGTTGTCAGGTGCATTATTATTATTTACAGGAAACAGGCATACCCTCGGACGTGTGGCGGTTCTACTTAGCCAGCATCAGGCCGGAGACGTCCGACTCCAGCTTCAGCTGGGTTGAGCTCGGCACGAGGTAATGACTATTCATTTTGACTCTTGACACAACCGCCTCGAGCTGCTAACGAGGCTGACTGGAATTAACCCATTTGCGGACAAAACAATTGGGATTATTTCAGGTGATGTCGTGCGCAAAATCTAGATACTTTTACCGGCGTTACGAGACCCTCGTCATGCGGGATTGTAATGTCCACAAGAAATACCCTCGACTACGATCGGTCCAATATCAGGCTTATTCGCAAGAATAGTCCCGTCTGTCACAGACACAGACAGGACAGTTGTTAAGGAAATTACCGTTCTTGCACTAGCGTCACAGTACATTAATGAAAAATTTAATTTATGTTAAGAGGAAAGTAATTTTTTATGAAAAATAGTGACAGGCATAAGTCAAAGTCAAAGATTATTTATTCCATAGGTAAAATAAATTTACACTTGAAAACGTCACATTTAAGCTACTGCTCGTTCACTACGCTGACCTCCCTGAGAAAACGAGCAAGAAACTCTAGGGATTGCTCTTTTCAAATAAACTTAAATGCTATGGAATACACTTTGAATCAAATTTGTGTGGATTCTGGAGCCATGTCGTCTTTCCATACATCTTCATCTAACACGTAGTCTTCAATTTTGTAATATGATTTTTCGATCAAAATATTTTTAATGTAGTTTTTAAACTTAGGAAATGATAAACTTAATATATGCTCCGGAATCTTATTGTAAAAACGTATACAGTTCCCCATAAAAGAGTTGTTTACCTTGGTTAAACGAAATCGTGGTACCATGAGTTTGGACTTAGCTCTAAGGTTAATATTATGGATATCTTCTTTCTTATTGAAATTATGTATATTTTTACGGGCATATAAATACGACATAACATTAATACGAGGAATAAAAATCAGTACAGAGTACTAAAAAACCGACCTCAAAATTCATTCATCCCCTAGTTTGCCACCCTTAGAGGTGGAATATTTTCTTCAAATTTAAATGGGACCACTCCTGAGGTACCCTCTTTCCAATAAAAAGAATCGTCAGAATTGGTTCACAAATATCACAAAGTTATCGCGTAACATAAGTACAAAAAAAAACATACAATCGATTGAGAACCTCCTCCTTTTTTTCAAGCCGGTTAAAATAAACTAGCTGTTCTTGATAGTTGTCTTCATAAAGTCACAAATTCATTTAAGGGGCAATGTATACGCTTCTATATCAATATTCCGGTTAATATAAAAAATTTGCCATTCACGAGGTTTAAACCTAGTAGTGAAATAAAAACTTTATACTAAAGGTTATTATACAACTTCGGCGTACTTGGACGACAAAAATCCGTGGTAGTAACTCGTTTAGCTCATGGATGTAGTCTCGATCTCTGATGTGTACAAATTTTATTTACAAAGAGCAACACCTAGAGTTTCTTGCTCATTCTTCTCCGGGGAATACTTGTATTATTATTACGACTACTTACGTTAACTATGTTTTTGTTTGTCCAGAAACAATTCAGAGCTATTGAATAACCTGGGCAATTTCTGTCACCGATCGCTGATGTTCTGCGCGAACTCATTCAAACAACGCGTTCCCGATTTGACGTTGACAAGGAACGACTTTGAGATGATTGCCGCCGTCAACAGACATGTCGCTGGTAATTATAATAATTAAGTAAACTTAATATTACACTTATTTATTTGTATTCAGGTTACAGAGACCCATAAATAATATATAATAATAAATATTATTGACTAATTATTATTTACACGTATTATCTGCGGCGTGTGACGCAACGTGGGTGTCCGGTAGCCGGCCTCAGAAACATCGGACACCCTTCGGCAAAATCTCATCCTTCATAAAGGTCGACAGATGTGTCTCTTACCACAAATGTGTCTGTCCGCTATAGTCCTGCTTCGGCCGACAGTCGTGGAGGTTGTGTCGCTTAGGCTTGCACACGCCTTTAAAAACGTATGCCACACGCACACATACACGGAGCGCATAGAATGCCTAAAATCAATTAGCGCCAGAAGCTCGGTGCCCTCTTATAGCGACATATGTAATCAGCCGCTGTACCTGTACATACGTGGCTGAGTGACGAAAAACTTTCACAGATTTCTCACAGATGGCGCTACGGCAAACAGTCATTAAAAAACCAAAGATCTGCAGCATTCGTTCCGTAGCTCAGTTGAGAAAGTGTCAGGCACGGTATGCTGAAGGCGTTGGTTCGAATCCAGCGGATCGAAGGAGTTTTTCGTGTTCGATTCTTTGTATTAATAACTATAACAAGCTAGTGGAGTAATTTTACAAAAAATAATTGAATATCAATTCAATAAAAATTTAAATACAGTGAATAGCGACATCTTTAGCCGGGGTTGGTAACTGGGTGACGAAATACTTTGATGGATTTTCCACAGATGGCGCTACGCCTAAAAAGTCATTGAAAAAACCATATACAAAGATACGACAAGTAATTTTCAATGAACTTAACATTATAATAATAAATATCAATACATAAATATGCAATATTAACAATACTTCATAAATATAATATAGTACAGTATTGCCATCTGTTGGTGGCGCTCGGTACTATATATCAGGGGTCGAAATGATAATTATCACGATCAAAAGCTTGATAAATATTGATTTCTATAAAATTAATTTGAACAACAAAATGCTACCACTAGCAATGCCATGTTTGTGTCAGAAACGTATCCAAACCTGTCAAATGTCAATCTTAAAACAATTTATAAACCAAATCGTTCTCCCCGCGGAAGAAAGAAAATAATGGAAATGGCATAAAGCAACTTTTGTATCAAAACCGGTGGCCACACGCACACATTTGAAAACGTAATCTTACATGAGTACTAAGATAACATAATTGTGATTGGTTATAAATTATCAAACGAAAATAGACAATAATAAAAAACTTTTGGTAACAAAAATTGAAACCTATTTGGATCTAATAAGGTTTTATTATTACTAGTCACATAAAAACTAAGAAGCCGATGAACATAAACTTCTTGGAACAAAAGTAAAAACTTGACAGTCTACAGATAGGGATGTGACATTTAATTGATATCGACATTATGTTTCATAACTATCGGAATATTGAACTAGGCATTGCTATAAACTTGCTATAATTAGGGTTAACCACGGAGTATATGGAAACAGCATTTAAAGCAATTTCTTCGAGAACTAGCGTAGCTGACTTTTACACGCACACATTTGTTACGAAATACGCATAAGGTTTTACTACACGCAAATATTAATTGATATTAGCTACGCAGGCGTGTGCGTATACGTAGCTACATGCTACAATCACAGCATTAATGATTTATTATACTGTCATCGTATTTTCATTACCCTACTAGATTTCAAGTCAATCAGATCACTGGAAGGGTTGAAATATTAAAACACAGTCATCATAAAAATCTTTATTCTCCCTGAAATATGATATATTTGTTCAACAATTACCTCTACTGAACTGACTGAACTGACTACACCAATAGCGTCGACGAGCTTGTCAAGAAAATGAAGATAGATACTTATTTCCGAAGGCGAAGAAGCGAATCATTTGTTTCATGAAAACTTGACGAAAAATAACTGACAATGCTTAAGAAATGTTTTCACATTTAGATGTGGTCTATAATTTGTGAATGCGACTCTGAGTTTCATGTCATATATTATCTGATTAACCAAATGATTATTTCTTAATGAATTTTTCGGTTGTTATTCATATGTATATAATTTAATGTGATGTCATGAAATGCCTACAGCAAATGGTGCTACATTTAGTAGGTACATTTCTCCTTTAAAAAGGATCCGGCGGGAAACTAAAAAAATCAATACAAAAACTGCAAATGTAAATCATGCCTGTGATAAAACTAAGAACTCCAACCGATGAAAGTGACGTATAATAAGCAAGTAGGAGATAGGAATCATGTAGATAAGGGAAAGAAAATCTCCAATCTCATAAATTCTTCATTTGACACTCCACTAACTTACGTGCATTGTAAAATTATCGACACTGTACCTCTTCTATCTATATTTCCTTTTTTTTTCATTAATATATCGTTTTCACTCAAATTGAAAATTTAAATAAACTATTGCGAGTGTTGTGACCAAACATTTAAGTAATCAACATTTCGCATTTAAATACCTGTAAACAATTTATGTTTACACATTGGTACCGCTATAATAAAAAAAAATGTTGAACTAAACCAAAACCGGGTTTCTAGATACAGAGTTTCTACATATCGATAATTTGATTACAACACGCGGACCCAGTACCAAGTGTAATACGACACTAGTGCAAGCAATTCATTGAGCGTCATTCAAATTGTTCTTTTGACGGCGGCGATGGCTAGCAACCAATGTATATTGTTATTAACAATTTGCAAGAAAATAGTTTTGTTTCGAAATTATAGTATTGTATTGTTCAAAATGTTCGAAAATACAGAGTTTTAGCACTTACCGGTGAAATGAAATCACTCCCGGAGTATTTTTATACTTTGGCTTCTTACGCGACATGATATAATGGCACATATTTCAATTTTTTCCACAAAATAATCATGTATCACATTTGAACGACGACAGACGTGCTGTTGACACTCATATGCCCGTCTGATGATAAACTAGGTAACGCGGACCCCGCCCACTAACCAGTCTATTACTAGAATTTATATGGTCTGTGGTTCTCCCCAAGCATCGATCACAAATTCAAATCACAAATTAGAAAGCTGAAATAGTACAGCGCCAACAACTGACCTGTGTGTACCGTCTCCGTATATTCCAAAAATATTTTGTATTTATTGTAATAAAGGTAATATCTCTAACTATGGGGGCTATTCCATTCGGTGGTGTAGGAAAAACAGCAAAACATCTAATTACAAAACAAACGGAACCACATTTCATCGGTAATCAAATATGTAATTTTTCAATTTTCGTCCATTATAGCAAAGCTCAAGTTAAACAAGGTCGAATTGAAGTGACATAATTGACGACACCCGTCAATTGTTTTGAATTCAGTCTGGCCAATCGGAGCGCAGTAGTCGTAATGATTTGGCAGAATAGTTTTCAAACAAATTAAATGAAATTTCGTCTCCATTTCTGGTTATATACTCAACGTCCCCAAGATATATAATAAACATCTCAAATATATAATAAATATCTTGATAAACGAACACTGCTATCTACATATATAGTAGTACTATTACCAGAAGATGATAGTACCGAAATGCGCCAACACAACAATTTATGCATTTTGCAAATGGCATATATTTTTGTTTTCAACAGGTGGCCAGCTAGCTATTCTTCCATAGAGATTCGCTCTGGACCTTTTGGAGGGAAAAGTGTCGTTTTTATTTTGACTTTCAATTATTTTGTGAAATCTAGTTTAAAGTGGAATAGGATAGTGCTATTGTGCCTTAATCGAAGATTAAAACGCGAAATTATATGAATCTCGAACTAGAATATCCGTATCGGCCCGTTTTAAGGAATCCCGAGACAATCCAAACACGCCGCCTCAAATTGCCTATCCTCTTTGTGGCGGCCATATTTACAGAAACAAACTTCATGTTTAGGCTGATGGCTTTGCCAAAGTCTTAATAAATTAAAAAATATATATTCTTCCATAGATAATACAACTCGAATTAAAATGTTGTAAAGAGCAAAGACGCAAAATTTTTATACAGAAAATAATTAAAAACAATTATAAGAAATTCTTAATAATAAGTATTGAAGCATTATGTCGCTGAATTGCAATTAAATTTCTGTCGAGATAACGTTTCAATCGAATATTTTAATTTTCAACTTAAGTAACCTTCTTGCTTGAATTTGAACCTGACCTATGTAAGAAAGTATGTCGTGCTACAAATTGAAAAAAAAAATCATTACCGACCATGGCTGTAATGGGAAGAAAAAAGGCCCGAGGCTGTTATTTGGGGCATTATAGCCAAGTTAGCCAGTATGCAATCATACTATATACGAACAAGTGTGATGAAGAATACCCTTACACATTTCCAGCATACGTGTCCGATATGGAGCGAGGACGACTCCGCGACGCCCTGCGTCACGTAATGAGCATCTCGAAGCTTGGAAACCAGCACATGCAGAGCGAACAGCCCTGGGTACTGCTCAAAGGAAGCGATGAGGAGAAGTAAGTAGATGCATATAATCTCCATTTAGTCCAGGTATGCCATGTGATGTTACACCGCCACATTTTTGGGTGATGAATACTGTTGGGTAATTAAAAAAAAAATCCCGAGAAATGTTTCCACGCTTAGAAACATCTTTTGCGGTCTATTTAACGTGAATTATAAAATGAACTTGTCAAATTCACAACAGTTTTCGTTCTGTAATTTCAACTTTTGACAGATGTCAACGTCAAATGTGGAAAATTAAAAAAAAACATCCGGAAAAAAAATTTACAAAATTGAAATTTTTCCTTGTCCCAACACTACTGATGACCCATTATGGGCAACAAGACATGGTCAACGTCTTCAGATAAAGTTATCTTGTTCAGCTCCTTTTTGTTTCTCGTCCAGAATACGCGGTGCGACTGCCATAGGCCTGAGCTGCCAGCTGGTGGCCCTTCTGTGTGTGCTGGTATCGCCGTACATGCCGGACACCAGCCGCCGCTTGAGGGAACAGCTCAACGCCGACGCCAAGCTCCTCAGGATTAACCCACAGTGAGTTTGAAAACACCTGCACTATCAGTCAGTATACGATCCTGCATTCATATTATAGGATCCTCCTCCAAGCGTCGTATGCCTTATGCATCGAGTATATAACCAGAAATAGAGACGAAATGTCATTTACTTTGTTTGAAAACTATTCTGCCAAATCATTACTGTCCAGCCCGAATTCGGAACAATTGACGGGTGTCATCAATTGTTCCGAATTCTATTTTGTTATAAATAAACTAGTGGAGTGATTTCACAAAAAATAATTTAATATCAACTCAATAAAAATTTCATTAAAAGGACTGAGGTGTTAACGTATCTAACTGGGCGACGAAATACATTCATAGATTTCTCATAGATGGCGCTTGGGCTAAAAAGTCGTTGAAAACCAAATATTAAAATCCAACAACAAGCACATAGAAAAACTCGTGAGGTCCGCTGGTTCGTTCCGTGGCTTAGTATACATAGGATCTGCCACGGTTTGCTAGAAGACGTCGGTTCGAATCCGGCCGGATCGAAGGAATTTATTCTATTTGTATTCATAATTATAATAAAATAAAACTTCGTGTTCGCAGGAAACCATTCTTCATCCGCTACCTGCCTCCCGGCCACGTGATCGGCAAACCAGAACCCTTGTTCACCAAGTTAGAAGCAGACAAACTCGAAGCTCTTAAGGCTAAATACGCGGGCACACAGAGCGAAAGACAGGTAATTAACATTTTCATTCTCTCTATACCAGATTTAAAGTAAACATTCATTTACGAATAGTACGTACCTGTTATGGAATATGAGATTGCACGCATAATAAATACATACGACATCGAGACTATAACCAGAAATTGAGGACGAAATGTCATTTAATTTGTTTGAAAACTATTCGGCCATATTACGGTGACAACAACGCTCCGATTGGCCAGCCCTTAAATTTCGGACAGCTACTTACCTTTTTTAAATAAGGTAACCAAGATATTTGAAATTGAGTGTCCAACTTTATCACAACTTAGTTAATAATTTTATTCACTACATATTTATAGGCAATAAAAATTGAAAATTCGGGAACTCTTGTCTACTGTATTACATCTCATTATATTGATATAATAAATCCGTATTAGGTACTACTCTGTACTAAATAAATGAAGAAAACTATAAGTGAAAGTCTTAGTTATAAGTTTTTTTACTTATATCTCGTTTCATGTTTCGGAAAACGAGAGAAAATCCGCTCTTTATCCCGATGATAGAGAGATAGATCGTGATAAAAAGCCGTACACAGCACAATTCACGACCATTATAAATAGTAATGTACAATGATGTTATACATTAAAGTAAAAGTTTCGTAATGAATTAATGAAAACTATATTTAAATATCAAAGTCGTCTGAAAACGGCTCGCCGATAGCCTTGTTGCCGTTCAGTCAATGTGACCGTCAGTGTGCGGGGTGTGGTGCGGTATCTAAACCTAGGGAGGGGCGGAGAGTGTCCATTCACGTTACTTTTTTGTTATCTGGTTCCGGATTTGATGGGTAAAGCCAGGTTTTTCACTATACTAGTGCTCTCGGACTGAGTGCGCTTTTACAAGCTACATTGTATAGGAGTGTACTTCGGTTTTCGGTTTACCAGCTTACAAGTTCATCAGCTTCCAAGTAGCATTTATCACCTTGCACAGTCAAGATGATGACAGATCTGCTGCTGTATAGGATTTATGATACCAAGTGACACGACGACAAGTCGTACGCTTGGTGGTAAACGACACGTCTGTCCATAACAGTTGCAGTGTCATTCGGTGCTTTAAATCACAAAGAACTAAGGGACATTGCCACGGCGCCTGTCTACGAGCCGCATATTAGTTAGTGGACGGCCATCGAGTATGTAACCAGAAATAGAGACGAAATGTCATTTAATTTGTTTGAAAACTATTCTGCCATATCATTACTGTGACAACTGCGCTCCGATTGGCTAGCCCGAGTTCGAAACAATTGACGGGTGTCGTCAACTGTTTCACTTCAAATCGGCCAGTTAACTTGAGCTTTGCTATAATGGACGAAAATTGCAAAATTACATATTTAATTACCAATGAAATGTGATTCCGTTTGTTTTGTAATTAGATGTTTTGCTGTTATTCCCACACCACCGAATGGAACAACACGCCATTGTTAGAGATATTATCTTTATTACAATAAATACATAATATTTTTTGGAATATACGGAGACGTACGCACGGGATAGTAGTTGGCCGGTCTATATTTCAGTGCAAACGAGAGTTGATATTTATAAGAGCTGTATCGCTAATGTGTTACCAGGAATATATGACCCTTATTTCGTCTTTATTTCTGGTTATATACTCGATGTGGACGGCAGATAAGTTGACAAGTCCCATGTGCCTGTAATTTCACAAGCACCCTTACCCTTTAAAAGCGGATCGCAGTAATGCGCACATTACAGCTCAGCGGCAGAAATAGGTAACGTTGCAGTACTTCCCTGGACGAACTGTTTCACAAGGAGCTCTTCTGCTACTAAATATGCTTGTGTGCTTATAAAAGCATACAAGCATATTTCGATTAGGAAAGTGCTTAGAAATGCACACTTTTTAAATTACTTTTCGTTTAAACCTCTAATGAAAACCCAAGAACTAAACACAGTTTATCAATTTTTTAACAGCAAAATGGCGAAGTGAAGAAACCTGCAGGGGCCAAGACAATAGCGGAATTAGAAGCAGCAATTAAGGCACAGGTATGTGTTACGTTTTTATTTTTAAATATTAATGTACCCTTTCTACTCCTGTACTTACTTTAATCTGCCAATTAAAATTTCATAAACCATATCACAAAGGCGCTCTTTTTAGTTCTGAATCAAAATTCTATATGGGCAGCAAATTAATTTACTTCAATTTTTTTTACAACACTAGCGGTAGCCATGTTGAGGCTACAGACGCTGGTTCGAGTCCAGCCAGATCGAACGATTTTTACTTTGTATTTTTATATATATTAATGATCTCAGTACAGAGTACTAAAAACCGACCTCAAAGGTTATTCATCCCCTAGTTTGCCACCCTCAGAAGTGGAAGATTTTCTTTAAGTTTAAATGGGACCACATCTGAGGTACCCTCTTTCCAACAAAAAAAAGAATCATCAAAATCGGTTCTCAAATGTTATCGCCGAATATAGTCGAATTGAGATTGAGAACCTCCTCCTTTTTTTGAAGTCGGTTAAAAATAACAAACTATACAGGGTGGAACGTAATGACCGACAAAACCGGAAATGTAACGTTAAGAACCCTACAAACACGAGTTTTATTTTCTTTAAATGTAAAATAAAATGTTAAAGTAAAATATAGTAAAATGTAAAATGAAAAAGTATGTTTTCAATGACGCATTTTATAAATTAGACGACATATTTAATAAAAGTTAAGTGCCATTTTCCTAGTCATTAAATAGATTAGGTCGTAAATAATAAATACTTAAATGTTATTTAATTTTATGTTATAAGAGAATATTAATTATTAATAATTTGAAGGGATATTTTATATTTGTAATTAATAACATGGAGTGCTCTCCTGAACTGCGGCGCCCATACAGGGTGTCACATGCGTGACTACTGTATTATATTTTATAACATCTTATGTGAAACCATGTGGCGAGCAATAAAGATATGAATATAAATATGAAAAAATCTGAGCCGTCGAAAAATTTTCGTCCAGATGGAAAGTTTTCGCGTTGCGACAACCGTAATGGAATGAATGGCATTAGTTCATCTATCGCCACACAGGCGGCGGTCGTGTCATTGACTATTGCGGGAGAAATAGAAAGTGAAAAAGAACCGCTTACTTATTACATTGAACTTATTTAAAAGGATGTTCGATTTATCCACGTCGCTTTTACTCTTGCAGACATTCCACACGCCGATATGGTTTTCCACACAAACACTATGCACACTAATACACTTAACTTACTTAACACAAACACTACTTAATATACTATTCTAATAAGTTGCTGTCACAACTCAAAAATCAATAAGTAACGTTGTTTTATGTTGTAAACACGAGACCACGAATACCATACAGCCAGCCATTTTGAACTAACTTATGAATGAGAAAGCAGTGTTGCCAACTAGACTAAAGCAAATATCACTAAACAGATGTCGGTCATTCTGTTCCACCCAGTATAGTCGAGTGTTTTCACAAGAAATAGATGTAAAACGTGACATTCACAACAATATATTTAATTAATTCTTTGTGACAGGGTGAAAAAGTTCGACAACTAAAATCCTCTACAAAAGGCAAGGCTGTATGGCAGCCCGAAGTGAACATATTGTTAGACTTGAAAAAACAACTCACTGCTGCGCAGGTAGCCAAGCCCACGCCCACGCCTGGGAACAATGACGCTCAATTAGAAAAAGCTATCGCTGAACAGGTACCAGAAAAACCATCATAACAGTTTTAAACATTGTTATCTGATTTTTTATGATACTCATTAAAAAGTCACTTGGACGAAGAAAGTCGTGCGCCTGGCAAATTACGTATGACGTCACATAATGTGCGTCGTCTTTATTTTGACTAGCTTTATGGACTGTACCACCACCTAATATCCTAAATACAAAGGAGGTCCATACTATTTGGTCTTTACAACATCAGGTACTGTATTATCATTAGGACGGATACTTTTGTAGCAGTAGAGTTCGTGCAAGGTAGTACTGCCAACTTACCTATTCTGCCCACACGGCACATGGGACTTGTCAACATATGTCTCAGGGTGACGGGCGCAGTTGCAGCGCCCCTCAGATCTTTACGATTTAAAGCTCTGAATGGCACTGCAACTGTTATGGACAGGCGTGTAGCTTACCATCAGGCGCACTACTTGTTCGTGCCGTCACTTGATATTATAATTTTCTTTTTTTATAAGAAAAACTTATGTGATAATTGATTTGTAAATTACTTAATGAGTAAAATAATATTGCAGCGAAGCATACAATTTAGATTAAGGGTCGTATTCTAGAACTCTACTCAATGCTCAAATCAGGATTGCACTGGAAACACAAGCACTGGAAATACGACCCTAATGGCAGGGACTTGAGTATGATTTCGAGTGCTTTAAACCATACTCAAATCCTGACTTGAGCATTGAGTAGAGTTCTAAAATACGACCCTTAGATGCTTTGTTGGATTTTATTTTCTTTGCTGCCTTGAAATGCTTCTAGAAGCAATGCGAGAGAGTTGCAACAACAAAACAACAGTGTTGTTGTTGTTTGAATAACGAAACAAGTAACTTCTGTTGTATTGTCGATACTTTTTTTATTTTAGGACTATATTGACTTTTAATAGCAATTATTTGTTTATTTAAACACTTTACACGCCCGTACATAACACAGGCTAGCTTACCATCAGGCGCACGACTTGTTCGTTCTGTCACTTTGTATTATTAAAAAAAAATCGAATACAGGCCCTTTTAGGGTAAGTGTCTTACTTTATATTGACCCATAAGCATATCCGTATGCATTGACTTACAAATAAATGGACGACGGGTCTAATACAAAAACC